ATCAAGCCGTTATTCTTTATTGTGGATACTCTGTCCGTAGCAGGAGATAGTGCAAAGATGATGGCCAAAAGAGTCTCTGAAGTATCAGTATGGATGCATTACAAAAGTCTAATGTTTATTGGGTTCGTGGAGTAAACCTGAACACCGTTAAAGACTGGCAGCGTATGTTGGAGTAACATCACGTAGTATGAGTAGCACATGGGCAATATTCAATCTGTAGTAGAAAACCAACCAATTAAATCAGCACAAAAGGTTCTACCTCTGTCGTGATATCATGCATGATAAAAACGAATAACTTCAGTGATCGCTCGCTACACATGATAAATCATTTTAGACAAACGATCCTACCGGATGACTGTCATGAAAGATCAACCATCAAAAGTCAGACCCGACAATACAGCTGGCAGCTAGAAAAAGGAATTGTTGTGAACCGATTGAGGGACAGTTGTACGTACACCCACCTCTTGCAACGTCATTGGTTTTTTTGTCACGTGATCTTCACAGACCAACACATCCGCCTTGGTTCGAATGGTCTTCTTGATAAATCGCAACAGATGTTTCTGATTCATACATGATGCCGCGTGAAGATGTGTATCCACCTGACGATGGGGACGACACAGAGGAAGAATAAAAACAAATCATTTCTATGTTCCGCGGATCACATTTGGTTAACATTGAGTTAGCGCTTGCTAGTCTACACTGCTCGAATGGAATGAACAACATGCGCGTGCGTGAAATATCGCATCAGTTCAATCACATATGTGACTTATAAACGAAGTTGCCATTGGGGTATAATGCATAATGGTGGGGGGTTCAGATTTGTTTGTGGTTTTACAACCATTTCCCCTGCGCTGAATGGTGAACGGAGATGTTTCGGCCGGGAAAAGCTACTGTGAAAAGACCTCAATTGTTACAGACTAAAAAATCAACTGAGCTGTTTGGGTCTAGCATTGTAATGAACGCGTGATCGTTCAAAAATTTTACGATGAAAAACGTTTTTTGATACTTGAACTTACTTTGATTTCATAAAACAATCTTCAAAAATGTCAGTAATGGTTAAAGCAAAGATGAACACGGAATCATTTATAAACGTTTTCAATCTAGAGGATAAACTGAAGGGTAAGTATAACAGAAAAAATACCATACATACATACCCATACATGCATCAATATCAATGTACAAGCTAAATGCTAGGCAAAACTTTATATCTACCTTGCGAATGTTGTAAAAATCGCGATGCGGTACACGTTTCTGTTCCAGCGATTCGCGGGACTCGTTTAGCAGTGAGTGCAACAAGAATTTTGAACCCAGATAGGTGAGTCGACGATAGCAGAAGGATTTCAATGGACCATCAGCGACGAACGCACGGATGACCTCGTAATCATTCATATAAGCCGCCAGACTGGGCACCACAAATTCCAGTGGTTCGCCCACACCATCCAGTGATTGACCGTTTCGGTCATCAATCACCGGGAGAACATGCATCACACCTTTACGGAACTCCAGTTTGACGGGCAACGGTTCTGGCCAGTAACTCATAGCAAAAGGATCTCCAGTGGTCAACGGTGGGTGAATTGGGTGGTCTGTAGATCAATGTTATGTTGGGGATGGGATGCAGTAGAAAACTCGGTGGTATTATCTGGTCGAATAACCAACCTTTCGAGCAAACTAGAAGGAATAATGAGCGATTCTTGTTGCTTAACATCTTTTCAATCGAGCATCAAACTGTTCTCATGAGCAACCTGTGGAATGGGATGCATTGTGCAAACCGGGGGGCCTAATGATTAGGTAAGTAGTGATCAGTATATTTTGGAATGAATGGAATGAAGGTATTGGTAATAAAGACAGGAAAATTGAATGAAACGGTAGGTAAATGAGTTTTTACAAATCATTAATGAGTAACAGGCATGCAACAGATTGCCGTCAGACAGTCTTGAGATGATCGATAAGTAGAAGATCTGGGGGAATTTTACTTTGGATAGTAGATACAACAGGAAAACCTAGGGAGCATAATGCTAGTGCTGGTGTAAAGATCAGGCACAAAGTGTCGAAAATGCACTCGAGGGGCAAATTTGTAACATTATAATCAATTCCATCTAGTGATGTGGTTGAAGAAAATTTATTTCCTGATTGAAAACTCCGAACAAGATATACAGGACAACAGTCAAGCTCCCCATTAGCATAACAAGGAAAGATACAAGGTCGCTGGGAAGTCGCAAAGCTTGAGAGAGGAAGAAAAATTGGCAAAGCGTTTATCTGTGCATAAACGTTTTCAAAAAAAACATGACCTGATCAGCTGTGGAAAGCAGATCACTAAGCCCGTCGGTTCGCTACAGGATATTCCGAACCTCAACGAAGAAAACGAAAAATTCACTGCAATATCTTTCCGTACGAATTAGTCTACCGGATATCTACATCCTCTATTAACTTCCATATGAATTATCAGTCTGGGAAAGTAACTGCAGGCTGGGCGCTATACGGCAGACACCTGAAGGACGTGCGCAACGCGTGTCCTAATTCACAGAATATATTCATACAGCTTCGTGATGGCAACTAATTATCTACTGAAATTCTCACAAGCACACGATGCTTGCCGCACACACTTTCATTCGTAGGTTCATTATATACAACACCAAAGTACTTCTGTTTTAATTACCTATTATTTTTCGTGTTTAACTGTTCTCCATCTTTCCAATTTGTTCTGTATTGCAGTCCACCTGCCCCCTATTATTGTTATTATTATGATTGTTGTGACGTTGGCACCATGCTTGTCTACAAGCCGGTGTTAAATATGTACATATACACAATAACTGAGAGAGACATCAACTGTTGGCACGAAGGTTGACTAACAAAGCAAATCTTGGATAAGCACTCATAAAAATAGCGAATTGCAAGTAGGCTTGCCTAGATCTAGGTCAAGTGAACTCCCTCTAGCCAAAAGAAGAATCATATGAAAAGGCAACAAATGCGCATATTTACTAACAGATGCTTAGACAGTGAACAAAGAGGTTATGTCCTTGGTAGAGGGCTTCGAAATCAAGTCACATGAAAGTAAAATGATTGCATGCATTCTATTGAACCACGACTATGGGTTAACCCTTCTCGAATATAGGAACATGTGCAGCTTCGTCTAATCATACCTCAGCTACCAGCACACAACCTCAACATAGGGACCCGACCAGATATTCAGTTAGCATCCACATGTGCGCACCAAAAGAACCTAAAAGCGAGACTTTCGGCTTGCAAATCCTCGGTATGTCTGACCTCACTCGCCTTCCTTGTAAATACAAACAAAGCCATCAGTAACCAATCGAAAGGTTCGAACGAGCCGTTCTTAGTTATGGTTATCTGTTCAGTCATACAATTAATAATTAGCTTGCTGCTCTTGTTATAACTGGACCTGGGATTTGGCGACGGTTAGTTTAAGATGGCTATGGTAAATCTCAACCTCTATCGCTAGAAACAACAGCGATAGCGATATATATGATGCGATCGCTGAGCTAGGTACCCGTACTCCGAGAAGGATACTTGTCGAACCTAACAGAACAATCCTGATTTGAAACTTATGACCATTCAAATCACTCCATATACCGAATTTTTCACTGTCGTTTATTGGTACCATACAGGAGATCAATTAATCGAGCAGTGCAACCAGATGCACCGATGATTAGCAAATGGCCAGTGCATTTACAAGCAGATAATGTTCGCCATGATTTTCGACAGTTTGCTAAACAACGCATCAGTCATCTCTGAGATTCAGAAGCACACAACTGTTTATTGAAAATGGGTAACCAAACAATAAACAACACACTGCAATCAACAGGTCGGATGTGTGCGTGTGATGGTGGCCCACAGAAAGTCAAAGTAAATATCCTAGTGACTGCGTTGGTTTTGCTCTCCACCCAAGCAGTTAAGTGCGTATTGTGTTCTGCTTGTGTTAGTTACTGCGCTCCACACGATAGGCAGCAATAAAGTAAGGTCGATTTTGATATTCCGAGGGTAATTAAGCGAACGATAATATTTTTCCTACTACATTTATAATATAGCGCATGATGTAATTAACCGGAGCGTTTGTTTACTGATATCAGTTGTCGATATTCAACTGAGCTACCTTGAGGATTCGAAAATAAACACAATTAAGGGACTGGAGTTCGAGCCTCTCAGGTGATTTTAAGCTCTCAGCAGGGAAAGAAATAAGCAAAACTGCAATCTACAAGGGGCTCTCTGTGCTGTGAGTGGTGTACTCAGTAATTTCAGTAGCTTCTTTTGTCCAATCAAATAATTTTCAGAAAAGTTTTACATACCAATAGAAACAAATCACCTATTGCACAGAGACCACGCGTGAATATACCGAGGTTAACCGCGAATGGGAAACGGCTATGAACAAGTAATGCCGACAAAATATAAAACTATGAGGCTCATTCAAAGCCAACACTAATGACACCTAACCTCCTAGCCACTTACATTGACAGACCTGGGGAACATGGTACGACCTTGGACTCACAAGTGAGGTGAGCTTGCTCGAGATTCACAATACCGGCGTAACACGCAATCGTAAGACGTAAGGTCAAGCAAAAAACAGTTTTCAGCCTTATTTTGTCTCACTACTGAAACAAACCACATTTCGGTAAGTAAAAGAGTGATCAAGCGTGCTGAGTATTTGTCGGAACAGCACGCAATTTTGTCCAAATGATGACTTCGAACTGCAAACCGGAGCAAGACGAGCATCACAAACAATTATCGGCTTCAGCGGACAGAGTTTTGTTTAAAAGTAGTAAGATGAATCAACATCCGGCCAAAAACGTCGATGGTTTCTAATCTGAAGCACCAAGTGGGGTGAAAATTGCAAACATTTGGGAAATTTAACATCTAACAGCGTTCAGTGAAATAAAGAACAGCTATTGAGCGGTTTATTTGTTTCACATCCAGGAGAAATGCCAGTTAGCCGCTCGAGTGTGATCAGCACAACGCAGAAAACTGGCAAATTACGGGTGATATCGAATTTGCTTGATGTGAATCGCATTGCTATGTATTCGCGAAAAAATGTTTCGGCAACATCAAGCGGGCACGCATTTGTCAGTGGAGAGCAAGACAAAGGTAGCTACAGCTTCCCGGCTGTAAGAAGATAGACGGACAGCACAGAACAGACATCACTATTGAGCACTGTGTTGGATAGAGAACGACATACGGACGAGCCACTGCAGTCAGCTAGGTGTAACACGATTAGTGAAGTCTGAAACCTAAATGCGGTGATGTGAAATGCAATCGGAAAGAACGGAAAAAGGGAAAGAATAAAAGAAAGCAAAATGGAAGAAATCGATTCGTCATTGGATTGAATCAAAGGCTGAAGGACNAAAATGGAAAGAATTCAGGTGGACGAGTTCGAAATCAGAGCGACGAGTGGTTGGTTAGCATTTAGCAATCCCGATGTCACAAACCGAAATTAAATACCACTAGACATCCGAATGATCAAACGCACATGTACACACTCACACATATGCACGGACAAGCGCATGGACACACACGGACTGGTCACATAGGGGGCAGCATGAACCAAGAACAATGGGACTTAAGATTGGTAACCAGCTAGAGAACTCATGCACAAATAAAAAGATAGTAATGCTCACCTGGGTCTGATCGTGTGAATTCAGGGGAAAATAACAGATGGAATGTGAGGCGAAGCGGTGTTGGTATGAGACTAATGAGTAAATTTGGATGTGGGGGTGAGGAAGCGAATCATGCGACTCGTGTTTCGTTTTGTCAACAAACGACGCGAAAGGTTTTGATTCAGATGCAGCATTGCCTTGGGCAATTCTACCGCTACACAAACAGACATGGTGGGGGGTAGTGTCAATTAAAATTTAAGCAGTCAAAATATGAATAATACTAAGTGATCAATGAAACAACTCTAAAGTCGGATCAAGGCAAACACACTGCATCCATCTGACATCCACCTCGGACCGACATGGACATGGAAACAGGGTGAGAAATACGATCAAAGTACAAAACTATCGCCAAATCTGATCAGGTCACCAAGGGTTACTGAGTATTAGACGGTTCAGTGCTCTGCTTTTTTTCGCTTTGTGACACTAGATTGTCCTGCCGCATTCCTAAAATTTGTCAACAATGCCCTGCAATGCAGGACACCAAAAGCAGCGGATGGAGATCGAACATACATTAATCAGGCCTAGTAATGACAACGCGATCACGGCTGGATTTGCACTGTGAACCATAACGATAATCATTTCACCCAGCTTGCGCTGCTATTCAAGAACAACGGGTCCAATTTGGTCACAATAGAAAACGTGAACCTCATGAAAAATCCACAACAAAAACAAACTTCTGCGTCAGAGCGAACAAAAGGCCTTCACGTCGAAATAGTTGACGTATTGAGTTAGTAATTAGAGAAAACAATTGCCAATTATAATCTGCTTATTTACAGAGAGCGTGTGCCACTACCCAATCCGTTGGAGAGTGTCCAAACAAATGATCAATAGACTGACGAGGTCTGAATAACAAATTGTTGCAAACGCATGGCC